TGACACCAAGGGTGGCTTCTATGCTCGCGCGCTCGAGCAGCTCATGGTGGGTGTCTACCTTGGAGAGCTCTGTCTCTTGGGTCTCTTCGGTATCGGTATCGGCAACAGTGTCACATCTGCTGGTCCGACGGTGCTCCAGATTGTGCTGATTGTAGCAACCATCATCTTCCACGTCATGATGAAGCGCAAGATCAAGCAGATGAACTTGCTCGATGACTCGAACCATCCCCAACAGCACAACGACGCTGAAAGACATTCGGAAGGCAATGGCATGCACCCTGGATACAATAACGTTAAACGCTCGCGCGAAGACAGCAGGCGATCTGAGCAAGCTCTTGTTTCTGGCTACAGAGAGGAAAGCCGCCAGTACGCCGGCGAACAAGGCGCTGGTATGGCTCCCCCATCGAACGCCCCGCCACAGCGATCCCTACTCAAGAAGATGTTCTCCCCACATACACTCTCTGTCAGCGAGATCTCCTCGTCACTGATCACACGCTTCCGCCGTCCTGTTCCAGCCTATACCCAGCAAGACGTCCTCGAAGCCTACCTACACCCCGCTTTGGCGCAACGCGAAGAAGTCATCTGGCTCGCGAGAGATCAGGCTGGCGTCAGCAAGAACGAGGTTGCGGAGCTGACTGAGAGCTTGGGAAGCTATGGTGTCGAGGTCACAGACGAGGGCGCAATAATGAACGAGAAGGGCAAGGTCGAGTGGGATGACAACAGCGTGAGGCAGGCGCCTCTTTGGGATCACAAGGTTGTTTATTAGGGAGTCTCATTTGTTGTAACGAAGGAAAGGATGACGACGATGTTTACGCGACACTATCAATTTGTATTATACCCTTAGCTGACACGATAATATACTCGATTCGTACACTTTACGTTCTGGCACCATACCACAGTCATTGTCACACGCGCTCCCAACGCCCACCGCCAATGTTACTCGTGGAAAGTCGCCCCGGGCTCTAGCGCCAAAGTCAGAAAAGGCCTCAGGTACAATGACACCAAATGTGGGGGAACTCGGACTACACTCAATCTGGTGCGGTGCCTGAGAGGCTTGCTGTGCATAAAAAGCAGTAAGTCCACTGTATCTATGCCGGACGCTCTCCGGTCACCGCCTAGTGGCCGCTTAGTGCAACGCAACGAACAATAAACAAAAGCTATGACGTCTTTGAACCGGAGACCTAGAACTTGGGGTTGCCAACTTTCAAGTACCTAGTAGCTGGTATATGAAGGTGTCGTGTTGAAGCTGGGGTATTGAATCATTCTTGCTACACAGCTTTGTACTGTTCTTAAACACCAAACCACTTAACCTTTCTTTCGAATCTACGAATTGAACATCATGCCTCGCAACGGAGACGGATCTAGCGACAATGGCCCAATTGAGGGTCAAGAGCTTCTTCATGGAGCTTCTGGTGATGTACGTCTTCCAATCGACAAAAGACTGAACAGCGACTAACACGTGACCAACAGAAAACACTCCAACACACCAAGCACGTAGCCCCCATGCCCGAAGTCGAAGCAGGAGACGGTAAGAAAAAGACCCCAAACTTGCCCAAACCACATACATCTCACATAACTAACACCCCACCCCAGCCCTCCCCGGAATGGGTGCCGGCGGCACCGCAGCCCCCATCGCGGACAACGCCGAAGAATTCGGCGTCAACGAGCCCAAAAAGGACCCTCTCGACGACGAAGAAGACTCTTCCGCCCAAGACCCGCTGCCACCCAAAAAAGACACCTCATCCTCCAAGAAGCGCACAGAACCGCACCACAGCGCCACCTCACCCGAGCGCTCGCAGCTGGACCAAAAGTTCACAAAGCTAGACAGAGACGAAGTGGATATCTCGACGTCGTCGAGCAAGGGGCAGGAGATGGATGCGAGGGCGCAGCGTGTGGCTGATGCTGTGGGGAAGAGTAAGGGCGCGGGGGATGAGGTTGTGAGGAAGAATGGGGGGCATGCTGATGTGGAGGAGTTGCATGGCGCGACGAGTTTGGAGAGCGGGGATAGGAGTAAGGATGGGAAGAGCGGTGGGGCGAAGAAGGGCGGGCAGGATGAGAAGAGTGGAAGTGGAGGTGGGAAGGGGGGTAAGGGGGATGCGGAGGGTGTGGAAGCGCATTTGGGGGATAAGGTGCAGAGGGAGCAGGCTAAGAAGTTTGGTGTTAACCTTGATAATTAGTTTGGAAGATTGAGGAGATCCGAGTTGAGGTAATGGATACCAAGTCATGTGTTATGTATTCTTTGCCTCGGGGCTGGGGATATGATGTCTTGTTGTGTTATCAAGACAAGGTCGGACATTTGCAGCATCCAACCATATTTACAGTCCGTTTCGCGCACTTAGAGCACAAAGCTCACCACAACCATGATAGCAAGGGCCGACCAGACGGCCCACGCACTTCCTCTTACGCTCGCAGCAGCACCTTCGAACTCAGGCAGCGTGTTGTTACTATACCCACCAGGCATAGTTCCATTGCCGCCGCTCTCCGCGCGGCACTTTGCAATAACCTCCGGGAACAGCGCAGTAGTGTTCGCATCGACAACAAGGTACTGGCAAATCTCCGCCGAGCCATCCAGAACCGCATCCACGTACTCCTCGGTGCAAGAGCTGAGATCCCAGGTGTAGCAGTATGTCAGCCTTTCGCTAGTGAAGGCGTCGAATTGCACATCGGGGTCTGGGCGACCAGTGCTCATGTACGTGCTGCTCTCTTCCACCCCGGCAGTTGACTCAGTACCAGTAGCAATGTCGAGATTGAACAGCGCACGCGTGAAGATCTTGAAAGCGGTCTCGGGCTGGTATGCTGGGATCGCGTGACCGGCTTGGTACGTGCGGATGTAGCTCAAGTTACCGTATTGACGAACGAGGCCACCGACGTAGGAGTCGTTGGTCTGAATCTCGGCGTATTGCGCGGAGGCATACCCAGCTGAACCAGTCCAGTTGATTGCCTTGGCGACGGCATCACCGCCAGCCCAGGGGCAGGCAAAGTCTAGATCTCCGTAAACGAGCGAGACTTTGATGCCGTTGTCAAGCAGGAAACCAAGGTCGTCGAGCCAGTTGTCACGTGGGTAGTCGCCAATGTCGCGGTATGCGGAAGAGGCTTGGGGCGAGTTGCCTGTCCAGTTGAGTGGTACGCCAAGTTCAGCTTGTACCCATTCGCGGTTCAAGTAGCCTTCATGGAATGGCGGTGGGAATGGAGGTGGTGACGGGGTCGAGATGTCGTAGTAGTCTCGGCCTGCATACTGATTGTACGGGCTGACGATTTCCGCGCGGCAGAACGATTCTGCGTCTTCGCAAACCTCGTTAACGCCGGCATCGATACCCAGATTCTCGGGGTCGTCTTGTCTAGCGGCATCGCGACAGTTCTGGATGCGCTCGAGACATTCTGGCACTGCTTCAACCATGGCGTTGTACGTCGTCTCGTTGACGGCCTCGATGCCGTATCCATTTTGACGGAATGCTTGCTGAGGGTAATAAGGGTACTGCACGTAGCGATCAACGCATCCTGAGATGAGAAGCAGGGTATCAAGGTGCATGATGTAACCCTCTTCGCCAAGAGTACCATTCTCAATGCGCTGGTTCTGCTCTTCCCAGAAGGACATCATAGCGGGGCCGTAGCGTCCGCCATACGATTGAGCTGCAAGACTGATGCGGGTGTCGTTCGGAAGGTAGTGGGGAAACTCTTGGAACCAAGCTTGCGCAAATTCCCATGCTGCTACGGCTCCGTTTACACTGCCAAAAGCGGTGTTGTTTGGCTCGCGACTAGGGAAAGTTCCGGTGAGAAGTGTGGTGTTTTGCACAGGTACAATTGAAGTCTCGTTGAGAAGCGTGACCTCACCGGTAACAAGGTCGCGAGTGATGTTCTGCAGGGTATCATAGGAGCTGCGAGCAGGAGTCAACAAACAAGTCCCTCATCTAGGGAACATATGTAGTGCTTACAAGCCAACTTGTACAGGCTGGTCGAGGTAGAGCATGTTTGAGGCTCTGTTCCAACTCCACTCCGCCGGTCGGGTAGAGTTAGAATCGGGGTTCGCGTAACATGGCCCATTCTCTTCGAGAATACCATACATAGACGAAGAACCCGGTCCACCATTGAGCCAGATGGTGAGTGGCGCATTCGTCGGATCCTCACGAGCTTCAAAGAACCAAAAGAACTGGTTTGCATTGGTAAGTGAGATCTATGTATGCTTTGGACCTGCACTCACGGTGTTGATCGGGTAATCCTGCCCTTGACCCAAGTCCGCGGTTCCCGGAGGGAGATAGACGTGGCCGGAGTAGGACTTAACGTCGGGTGTGGTTTCGCAAAGCGAGTTCTAACATGTACATATTAGATAAGAAGCATTCACGATTGCTAAATCGCACGAACCTCCTTGAAGGTGATCTTCACACCATCTCCAAAGCGCGATTCTAAAACTTTGAGACCCGCGGGCTCCGCTGGGAATTGGGCCAAGCCGGGCGCGGCGGAAACCAGCAACGCGACGGCTGCGGAACGAAGGGTAGGAAGCATTGCGAGGCTGTCAATCTTGAGGCTCCAGGAGTCCGAAGCCCGTCAAGGTTTATGTATGCGCCCGACGGTACCATCGATGCCAATGGCTTCCAAGCTTGTGTTCATCCTCGCAAGCCGTCTTATCGGCTTTACAATCAGGCATCGTTGTGCGATACAGGCTTGGCGATGGCTTGGAGTACATTCGAAGTGGGAGCGTTGAACTTTGGTTGACTACATCAGGAAGGTGGAAGAGGTGATTGCCAAGTACCAAGTCTCGTCGTGAGCGGGGTGTTGTTGTTGCGCGCGGTAGTGCGAGCCGAGCCTCGTCATCGTGCTGTAGCGACGGAATCCCGCAACAACCCATCATTATCCAATTCGACTACGAGCCGTAAACAGCAAATCCGGTTCTCAACACTGTAGTGTATTTTCCGGCGTTTTCCGCGTGAGGACCGTCGCGTTTCATCACCCGAAGTATGGCTTCCCGCCTTTACTCGTTCATCGGGCCGTCGGAGCTAAGAAAGTTACTTCAGAGCCTGCTTATCCATGTGCTCAATGTGAGATTGGAGCACGGCTGAGCCTATGTCTGAGTAAATAGTCTTCAGCTTCGATCGGAGATGAAAGGCCCCAAAACACTTCTTGTGCAGAGTCAGGCCGCCATTGTTTTTGAATGTCTCCGCCGTAACGTTTGCAGGATCCCAACTAGACCGCCGGATATGTGCCGCCATACCTGTATAGTCATGTGATTCGAAAGTCAAGATCTGGGCAGAGTGCGCGAGGTCGTACAGCTTTTGGATGCTGAAGGGAGTTTCGGAAGCTCTCCGTCGTGCTGGATAGAGATCATTCTCCAAGAGGAAAGAGATGAAGGAGCCTAGAACCATGGCTCGACACTTGGGCTCCCATGATTCATCGACTTGACAGACATACACGTGTATGATATCGTCTAGAATATCGTAGAGAACATCCAGCATAGCCGAAAGTGTAGCTTCCCTGATTTGCAGCATGCGCTCTTGAAGGTTGGTCAGCATATCTGCGCGATTGTTTCGGTTGGGATTGAGATGTTCATACCCAGAAGCCCTGGAGGCATATACTTTGGGAGCTTTTGGCCGTCGTCCATGATAGCGTTCCCGTCGTCATCTAGCCCGATCTTCTTCACCGTGAACCGGGTAAGACGTTGAAAGCTGTCCTTGTAGCCGAAAGTCCAGGCAACATAGAACCAGCCGGGATCGCATCGTTCTCCGGAGTCCGTATCGGGATAGTGGCATTGCGCCCATCCGTAGAGATCCAGGAACGGCCGAACAAGCTTGACAATGTCGTATCTGGCGCACACGACAGCGAGCTCGAGTAGGGCATCGATTGTAAGGCCGTCTTTCCTTGGTATCTCATGGAAGCGTAGATGAGCGATTCGAAGTGCAATATACAATGCATCTACTTCGTCATCCCGGAGCGGCACCTCAATGGCGCCGTTTTCTTTCCGGTGTCGCTCGAACATTGCTTTCCATACCGGGCTCGCCAAGGTCATGGCTGTCGAAGATACCTGGACCGGCTGAAGACCAGCTGAATCGGTGCCGACCAATAGGGTGGCGTCGCCGCTATCGTCGAGAACAATAGTCGGCTGCAACTCCGACATATCGACATGTCTGTCTTCCACCGATGCAGCTACATCTTCCGGCGTGTCGACCGTGCACTGCACTGCAGGTGTTGTTCTCTCAGGGGTAGGACGCGCTCGGGAAAGGAAGCTAGACCACATGATCCAGCCTCGCGCTTGCTGAGACGAATGATGATGTCCTGCGGTGGCCAAGGTGACGTCGCCAATTGTGTAATTCCGGTTGGAGTGTGAGTGTGTGGCAAGCTGGCTACGCGTGCAATGATGTGCACGCGTCCCGAGGTCGGTGCACCGTAGACGCGTCGGTGATCGCGAGGCTAAAGGACGCTAGTGAGAAGAGGTTTCAGATGTTCGTTTTTTCAGCGCAAACAAAGACAGAACAGCCCTTCGACAGCTACCCCAGCAAGCTTCCAATTTTACTTTCGCGCGCTGCCGCCAGCCGCCACACTTCGATTGAGGCGATGCGGGTCAATGCCACCCTTGGAGAGGTCAGCCTCGCCGAGTCGTAGCCGACGCCTGATGCTTCCACAACAGGGCTCGCCCCGTACGATCCCAGATGGACGGATTGTACACCCTGTGTATTCGTGCGATCCAGCCTCGCCGACATGTGACGACAATGCTACAGCACAGCGCCTCATAGCTTCCAACCATGGGGAACCCGCGGAATCATGCCGAACGTCGACTTTGGCACGATCATTCGCGGCACGACCCAATCTCCGGAGTAGTATATCCACAATAATTATACTTCGATGACCGTTCGACCCTTCAGTCATCTGGCAGCATTGCGGTTTGAGCAGAGCTCTATGGACGGCGATCTCCGTGGCCACTAAGCTTTGATACAACAGAATGTCGAGCGGGTGCAGCAGGTTGCAGCATGCATGTCTGCGTGCTTGCTCCCCACACCGCGCAGCTACACGTAACACAACGACGGATTCTGGCGAGGTGCAAAGTGGTGTTTATTGATCAAAGTCACCACGGCCTTCAGTAACGAATCAACGGATGAGCACGCCAGGGTCTCGATCCCTATCATATCCTACCCGTGCCCCGGGTCGCCCAGAGCGAACGACATGTGACCAAGCCACTGACTCCATATGAAGCTGGTCGTGCGCCAGATGTAGCCTGTCTCGGCTGTAAGAATCGATGTGCATCACCCTTTCGCTCAAAAGATTAACATTAGATGACTCGATCTGGGACCACTGCACGCGTAATGCGCATTCGCCGACGTACGTTGCGGTCAAATCCGATGCCATGTCGAACGACTGTCTATGCATATGAAAGCTCAACTCAGTGTTGCACACATGTCCAGCGCATACTACCATTGCAAGGGCAGGCAGACTTTATACGTCTAGTGTTCTTTGGGCACCACACGGTTACTTACGGTTATGAGTGCAGTCTGAGAGAGATTCGTCATCGCATTGGCAAAATCCAGACGAGCAGGAGGACCACATGTCATCTGACACCTACGCCTCAGGCCCAAGGCATCCAAACACCGCATTTACCCGTTGTATCGGATCAGAAAACCTCATACCGGCCAAATATCACCCTCCATAGATGAGGCTGGATCGCGGAAGATACAGGTCGTTTTCTAAACTGCCGATCCAGATTGCGTCACAACTGCATATCCGATAGAGTTCTACTCTGGGTCGATCCAATGCAAGTACGCGGTTACACAGTGTTTGCAAAGACTAAAGCAGATGTTGAAGTGACTGCGTCTCGAACACGATGCAAAGCATGTTGCATCAAGAGGCGGATGAACCGGAACGAGTCAGCGTCTTGGGCTTCATCGGGGTCATTAGCAAGGACCTCATGGCCGTGCACGATGATCTCCTCATGTTTAGAATGCTCGAAGCGAAACTTTATCACAGCATCGTCGAATCACGACAGGTTTCAAGCGTTCGAGGTCCAAAATACACGTAACGTCTATTCCACGCTGCTGCGATTTCTTCACAGCTGACGAATGAGATGAGTACCATCGTCTCCCGACGAGTGGTAGACAAGATCCGGTTCAGCTACACAAATCTACGAGCTAACCGGTGGCTTAGCTTCCGCTTTGGCCTGTCCGGCTTGTCGGGTCTCATACCTCATGGTGATCATAGCTGCATGTTAGCGCAGCAACACCACTGTTGACACGATGGACACAAGTGGTACCCAATCGGCACAGGCACATGGCATGTTACCATGCCGGTAGCCTAGCGAGTATGATCAGCGCATCACACCGCCCAGTAACAGTTGAACCGACACATCGGACACATTCTACGCCACAAAAAGCTTCCATGACTGAGCCCGTAGCGTCCGTGTGGTAAAGCATGCACTCGATTGCATTGGTCGCAACTCATGTCACCGGAGATGGCGACAGCCCGCTTTCGTCCAGTACCGTCCCCATTACCTGTCAATGCAACTCGCAGGGCTTGCAAGCGTCAATCAGTCGATGTCTTTTCATCATGTTCAACGACCAGCAAGAATGTCAATCTCAACGTCATAGGAGCACATACCGGGTGCGCCCTATCACAGAAGCCGACATGCAAGGACGTTGAGCTAACCGCAAACCAGTGAGCGTGGGAGCCCTGACTACTAGACGTTCGGTACCAGTCTATGGCTTCAGCTTCTGAATCCACTTTCAAACCCCCACCGATTGTCGAGTGCGTCTCTAGATCTCATTGTCTCGGCATCGGCAAGAAAATCTACATCCCAAATCGGGTTTGCGCGGACTGTCTTCAACGACACGATCCACAACAATTGCGAGTTTGGGCTGACGCCAACACTGTTGCCTTGCAACTCATCAACGAAGAAACTGCGCGCAAGCACATTCTGAAGCGCAACATCGAAGCTCGTGGTCGCTATCTCTGCGCCTTTGAGGATCCGGATTTTCAGCACTGCAGGTGGCGACTACATGACCTGAACCTCCGCGGCACTCGCCTGGACTGCCCTTCTGTCCGCAAGAAAGGTACTGCGTGTACCAGGTGTTGGAGAAGGCGTTTGCGAAAGATCAGAATCGCCCAGTTCTTCACGCCGACGGGCCTATGCCATGAAGAAGCAGACAAACTGGTGACAAGGTCGGCAGGTTCGGAGGAGGGCAGTGAGGAGTCGGACGATGACGTGGAAGGCTACAACACAATAACGAGTTGAAGCCATACCAGAAACCGACCTGGTGAGTCGCTCTGCTAGGTTGTCGGCCACGCTAACAGATAAGGTGTACCACTGTACGACCTGCTTGTCATGCTAGCACCGCCGCCGAAGCCACACTGTGCATTCGGTACCGCTTGTGGCTCACGTCCAGGAGGACAAGAACAAGGCACAGATATATGTTCATGGTGCAAGAACATGAGCTTCGACGCACTGTACAAGCAGGCCGAAGCACATCCAGACAAGCCGTTGCTGAGGTACCGCATCGATGTCTACAGGCACCAGCTTGAGCGCGACAGCTCCGAACGCATCAGAAAAGGCTGGACATATCTCTGTGCATGCAAGGACCCAGAATTCCGCTTCTCAGCATGGCGCAACGACTTCAACCCCCAAGATCCCCGCCTCTGCGGCACAGTTCGGCATCGCGGACAGCTGTGTGCACGATGCTACCGCAAAGCACGAGAGCAAGCCTGCCATTGGCTTTCGGAATTCGATGGCGACCGAGTGGGGTTTCCGTGTGTCTTCGAGGATCCACGACTGAGACGGCCCGTCGACAGCAACTGGAAGATTGGACCGCGGAATCAGCAGGGCGAGGCGGACCCAAGCTGGGAAAAGGATCCAAGGAGAGACGGACGCTGTGACAGGACAAGGTTTAGAAATCAGCTTTGCCAGAAGTGTTTCAATCGTATGTGCGAGATTCGAGGGTTTGGCCGGTACTTCGATACGGAGTGGGGCATACTGCGCCGAAACTACGGGGTGTGATCGCAGCGCTATCGACGAACCGATCTGAGTCGATCATCTCGTCGAGTACCCTCAATACGTTTTCCGTACACCTCAGATGAGGTTCGATCACAGCCCTGGGTCGTCACACGAGCTTATCACCGACGAACGACAATGAGTTCTCCGAACATGCCACAGTACCACACCTACGGCTACTGCTTTTGGTGCTCACCTACGGCACGGAATTAGAGGCAGGCCGCCCCTTACAGCTTTATCGTATTCACAGTGCGGTTGATAAGACGACACGACACGACTAGTGTTTATAGCACATTCCTCCGCATCGGAGAGCCAAACAGCAACACCGACACACAAGAAACGGCATATTGCAAGGGAGCCGCAAGCCGTTTCACTTACTGGATGCTACAATCGCTTCGCAAAACGAGCACATCGAGACAAAGAAGTCCAATTCTCCGCGGGATATACCAACGCGAAGATCGACCTCAAAAGGCACATGGTCTCCGCTGGCAGCAGCGCTCAGATGCAGGCGCATAGGAGTAACAGTCCCGGCTGCGTCGTGCTTTGCGGTAGCATACCTTACAACCCTTCTGAACGGCGTTTCCCTCGGAGTTTCGGTAACGATCACTGTCGCAAGAGGGAACTAGAAATTGGTCGACTATCGGTGTTCATACTTCTGGTCTGAAGGCTTGCAGGTCAACTCTATTGCTAATTGATATGGGCTTTCTGAAATGACCGCGTTTAAGCTTGCGCTAACGTATTCTGAAGCGGTGGCAATCTATTTATTTGCCAGTTTGTGCATTGCGACTTAGGCGTGGGCGACAGACTAGGAGGAGGTGTAGTAATGGATCACGATGGTCTTGCGGAGGGGTCATAGTGTTGGAGTCGGTGCGTACCAATAGTGACTCCCGCAATGACTATCCGTGTCACTGTAACCAATGTGACTCAGTCTAGATATTTAGCAACACAACGAGTGCTTGAAGCCATTCTTGAACACTTCGCGACAAATTAGAGCCAGCTATTAAATC